CTGTAAGCTTGGTTACACATGAGCGCTTATGGGTGGTAAGTCCTCCACGTGTTTCGAATTCCCTTCGACAGCCTCGGCATATCATAGCCATCAGAAAAAGACTGGTTAAGAATAAAACATAAGATGTTGCCTGCATTGATGGCGATCAACTGCAGCGCACACCGTGGTCTGTGGCAACATAAATTTAAGCTCCGACATATCTCCGAAGTCTGTGCATCAAAGCCCAGCCTGAGCGACTGGAGGTGCTTCAGTTATATACTAAGAGTCAGTCTCCTTGCCAATGCTCGAGATGTAACAGTAAACTAAGACTTACCCGCTCGTAGTACTAGGCGTTGTTTGACTGAGATATTATCAATGAGATTGACTCGGTATGATGATGATGTACTACGTGCATTTCCGAAGATCCAGGACCTTTGGAATATCGGCTTCGTACATTCTTCAAACCTGTGTGGACAGTACGTCACATACGTATTGACTGAACAGGTGATAGAATCGATTAATAATTAGTAGAGTTGGCTCCGGGATGATTCTGTCAATCAGTGTGAGACGAGCCTAATCAAGTTAACATGTGTGAACTGACAGCGATTACATAAACCTTGCGGTCAACTTGAGTAAGGGCGGAGCGATTTCTTGAGTGAAATGGAAAGGTGGGGACTCTAAGCCAAATCAGAAGTGGAGACATTAAACCGAGGAAATAAAATAATTCTGTCAATCAATGTAATTAGATCAAAGATGGGCCTAATCAAGTTAACGCACATGAACTGACAGGTGATTAAATAAAACCTTGCGGTCAACCTGAGCAAAGGCGCAGCAAGAAAAACTGTTTCTTGAATGAAATGGAAGGGCAAGGACTCTAAACCAAATCAGATGCGGAGACGTTAAACCGAGGGAATAAAATGATTCTGTCGATCAATGTGATCAGATCAAAGATGGGCCTAATCAAGTTAATTGAATAAAACCGTGCGGTCCACGAGGAGGAAGAAAAAACAATTCTTGAATGAAATGGAAAGACGGGCACTCTAAACCAAATCAGATGCGGAGACACTAAACCAAGGGATAATCACCTGAAGTAGGAACTCTAAACCAAAGCTACGCCCGGATATTCATATGTTATCATGTGCCAGCAGGCAAATCATGTTTTAAATCCTTTACAACAAGTGTCAGAATGTCATTGAATTGAATTGATACGAAGTAACAATACCCCTCAGGCCATAAGCCCGCATATAACTCCCAAAACACAAACTCCATGTCATCTATACTTACCGACTTGGAGCTCGAGACTGACCCCCACATGTCTTATCCTTCCATCCATGATTTTCTGGCCGAACTTGAAAAGGCGGAGCCACGGCGTGGGTGGATTGAAAAGTTTCTCCGTCCGCTGATTTCACTGGGGGTCAGGACAGTGGACGACATAGAAATCATTTCACCTGAATGCCTTACCGTTTTTCACCGCCTCTGTCCTCTCATGGTCATGGATTTCTTTGTCCATATCATCAGTTACCTCAATGAAGCCGGCCATTCACATCAGAGTACTAGCTCTGGGCCATAACGTGGAAAGCTGCTGGAAACAGTAGGTGAGAATGTAGTGTCGTGCGACGCCTGTCCAGTAGAAAGTAAACCTTCATCACCAGCAGCCCTACTATCCATCATAGTACATATCGACACGCCGAAGAAGATGTTAAACGCACAATACAGTGGCTCAAAAAAGTGTCCCAATGTTTGTAGCTTTTCATGTAATTGCTATATCATGTGTCGAGACGTGGGAATATGACTAAGCTTTAGGGTGATGTCGGAAAGGTCTGCATCTCAGCTTCATTTCGGTTCCCTATACCGTGGGAAACTAATGACATTATGTGAAGATATGAGTATTTTAATTTGATGACTCATTGGGACACTTTTTTGACTTTGAGTTTTACTAATGTAATCTCTATAATTCTAGTACTGTGTGTGACCTCCTTCTGCTCCAATCACTTCTGCCACTCTTCTAAACATATTCTCTATCAATTTTGGGTATTTCTCTTTGGTGATTCCATCATACTCTGCTGTAACACTGTCTCATAGTTGGAATAGCCCCTACAGTGAATCTTGATATGCTACAAGTAATTTCTTGAGTGATTCTCAGGGGTATTCAATATGGTTGATGTCTTGGGTCTATGTTGAACATGATAGAATAGTAATATCATGGTTTGCAAGCTATTGGTGGCTTATTTAGAGGTATACTTAGGGTCATTGTCTTATCACAAAACAGTATCTTCTTCATTAACTCATAACTTCTGCATGCTTCTTAGCAGACACTCCTGTCAAATGAGTATTTACTACTCTGTATTCATCCTCCCCTTTGCTTCATAGAAGATTCCCACTCCATTTTATCTCATATAGTCCTATACCATCAAGTTTTGTCTTGAAACTTAAGGTGTTTATTTAACTTTTCTTTATCTTAATGATTGTCTTATCTATTTTAATATAAATTCCTTGCCATATGATTTCATCCTATTGATTTTAACCTTATCTAACTAGATAAACCTCTTTCAGCTATTAGCAGTCCAATATTTGTACTTGAAAGTAGCATCTTGTCTTTTATTTCTATAGGTTGGAGACAGAGGAATCTGTTTTTCTTGATTATAGCTTTAAGATGGGCTGTCTTGAGAGTCTGTCTGACTATTTGAGTAGAGATAGTCATAGGAATGATGGAAATAATCAATTTAATCACTTTATTAGCATCAGCAGTCTTTCCAATTAGAATATAGTGATTAAGAGATCTTAAGTCTTATAGAGCAACCTTCTAGATTGGCTACCAAATAACTTAAAGACCATAATATTACTATTCTATCATGTTCAACATAGACCCAAGACATCAATCATATTGAATACCCCTGAGAATCACTCAAGAAATTACTTGTAGCATATCAAGATTCACTGTAGGGGCTATTCCAACTATGAGACAGTGTTACAGCAGAGTATGATGGAATCACCAAAGAGAAATACCCAAAATTGATAGAGAATATGTTTAGAAGAGTGGCAGAAGTGATTGGAGCAGAAGGAGGTCACACACAGTACTAGAATTATAGAGATTACATTAGTAAAACTCAAAGTCAAAAAAGTGTCCCAATGAGTCATCAAATTAAAATACTCATATCTTCACATAATGTCATTAGTTTCCCACGGTATAGGGAACCGAAATGAAGCTGAGATGCAGACCTTTCCGACATCACCCTAAAGCTTAGTCATATTCCCATGTCTCGACACATGATATAGCAATTACATGAAAAGCTACAAACATTGGGACACTTTTTTGAGCCACTGTATATATATGGTAGCACATCGGAGTCTCTACATCGCGCTGATCGAAGATGATTACTAGCCACAAAGTATATCATGATACGAAATGACCGAAAGGTCAGAAATGTATAATATCCGATGATGGTACACCGAAAGGCCCCCCTGTCGAAAGCATTAGCCGGTCATAGGGTGCCTGCAGGATATAGAGACATACCTTGTGTACTAGTGCGCCTCCAATCTACTACCTGATCAGCATCCTTCCAGAGAGACATGTCGCCACCTCCAAATTCACCCCAGGCAGTGGGAACTTGAGATACCAGCACGATGCGAGAGTCGCTGAGGGAATTAAATTCCAGGAATGTTTGGACTGCGTTGATATCTTCGGAGATACGAAAAACAAGTACTTGGAGGTGTGAGCGAGCAAGAAGGGACACTACCAAATCTGGCTTGGTCCTCTGCGTATGGATATGTAGACACAAGTGCGTCAATCCGTCAAGATACTCCAGACCAATGGTAGAGTTCCATAGGACCCAGCCGTTGAGAATTTCGAGATGCGTTACTGTACTGAAGGCCTTGAAAGCACCAAGGGAGACAAATTTGGTGTAGCGAAAAATCAAGGATATACTAAGCGATAATGACATTAGTGGGAGGTTATTCAAGGGCTGCAGCAGAGGATTTGTCGTTCCATTGAAGTCCGATGGCGCAATCCATAATGCAAGATTGGTGGCACCGCTGCATAGCGAAAGGATCTCTGCAGCCGTACTCAGAAGTACATCGCCCTCGATGCACAATGATTTCACAATGCCTCGAGCGAAATCCCCACTGCGCTGGCACCGAATACGAAGTGATGAAAGAAAGGATATAGCAATATTTTCATTTGATAAAACGATTTTTCGATAAAGCAAACTCTCAATCCTGCAGCAGTAGTAGTCAGTAACATAGCAAGGCGCTTTGCCTCAACCCTTCCGAATTGCTCACCAGTAACGTACCCTCTGTGAAACGAACAGGAGGGAGTAAGCTTGCTGCATACAATCAATAGCGAGGATAATAATCTCTCTCTCGAGTTCGAGGGGAAACACTGGCATTGGCATGACTGAGTCCAAGTCCCGAATTGGCGACATAGAGTTCAACATTATTGTGACGGCTGCTCAAAGTGGTAACGCAGACGCCACAATTATCTAAGCTAAAAAAACCAGAAACTCCAATACACTAAACGTGTATCTCCTTCGAGATTAGCTTTCCTGTCTTTGCGTCACTCCCGGTAACATTGGACAATTTACTACTGTTTGCCCTACCTCCGAGTCAAACCCCATTCGCGCTCTGCAATGTTGCACTATACTGTAAGAGGCAGGAGACGGGATGAGAGACGTGTCTAACCTAAACTTGAAGTTGAGATACTCGGATCTTAAACGACTCTAACCTGATACTGTCCCCCACTGGCAGGAGTGACCAGACCTCTTTAAGGGCATTAGAACTCAGAGTGGCAATGTAGGTGCAATCATTCAGGGTAAAATGTGTGCAGCTCTAATTTAATGTCACGAAGCTCCGTCTTGAACCCTGACCGAGCAACTGTTTAGGAAGTTGATTTCTGTTTGGTTGTTCTGCGTTGCATCAGAGAGCATAGATTCGGACAAGTTACCACTGTGCATCAAATGCAGTCAGAGTCATAACACAGTAAAATATTTTAAAAACCCTTACATTCGACGGAGTAAGCAAGAAACATGTCATCTGACTGCGACACTCATACCAATGACTCTCGTCCTTCTGACTTCAATGATGGGGCTGATGCAATCTTAGCGTACGCTAACTTCAAGTTTGAGGGCTCCAGGAGGTCTACTCCAGAAAGTCATTTTGGATGCCCTGGGTCTGCCCATGGCCAAGGCGCCCCCGTATATTCCTGTGGATGCTATAAATATAATATACTTGAAAGGTTCAAACCTTCACCTTCACCTCCTGACAATGAGCAGGCATTTCAGCTTGCAGATGAGTTTGGAGCGGAACAACCAAAGCCAGTATGTGTCTGTGGATTATAGGTAGCGATTGTAACAGATCTAATTTCAGCAGTTGGAAGTTCAAGATGGCGATCACTATAATGGTGACGCACGTCGTTCAAAGTGAAAGAGGTCTGACGATCATGATGATGTTGTGAGTACGCCCAGCTCAAATTTTCGACTGACACACTCACCACACGCAGATTCCACGTAACTTTGGCCAGGACGTGAGGGCAACATCAGTACCTGTTGTTGAGCTTCAGCCACCTGTGAAACACAGGAAGATAGAAAGAAAATTCGAGTTGTTTGAAGGGGAATCGGCACTAGCCAAGGTCATGCAGGAAGTTGTGGAAGTGCGTGAGGTTGTGAGTAGGATTGAAGTGGTCATCGACAGGCAAAACACAGTTCTTCTTGAAATCTGTAATGCTATCGAAAACCATGGGATGTGAATTGCCGTATTGACTCTTGATACTAGTGTCATAACAACTAAGAATCTAGAGTAGACAATGTCATGACCAGTCTTGAGCGAAAGTGGACAGCCAAACTCGAGCGAGTCTCAGAGTAATTGGACAATGGTGGAGACAGTATTCGGACGCACAGCATCCAGAAACGTTCAAGCAAGCAATCGTGGCGAGGCAGTGGTGAAAGCGTGATCAGTGGTGAAACCATTTTACATCCATGAACGGCGTCCTACAATCGTGCTAGCATCACATTTTAGGGAAAACAATCTCTATTCTGGATGTGCATACAACGCATATCGCGTGAAGTGTCAATTTCAAAGATTCGGAGGGTGCAGGTGCAGGCTCTGAAGCAACAGTAGGTGCAGGCTCTGTGGCCTCAGAAGGTACGGTTTCCCAATTGATAGTATTAGTAGAAAGAGACGTGCGCGGAATTTGGAGGCTGATGGTGGGAGTGTACTTGAATGACATGAACGAGCGAAGGGAGTGCGCATCGTGGATGAGATCTTGGTGCGACAAATCAGTCGACGAGTTAGATTTTGAGAGAAGAACTTACCGTGCATTGACAAAGTTAACCGCCTGATCGAGCGAATCCACGGGCACGATAGGCAATATCGGACCAAAGAGTTCTTTATGGACACCGTGCTATCAGAATCACATTTCTAACACAAGGGAATACTGACTCTTCTGACAATGAATCGCAGCCCGCAACATTCTTCACAATGGTGAGCTCGAGTATTTTCCTCGCAGCGTCAGCGCGACCCTTAAGAACGATTTCACCCTTTGTGCGGGAAAGATGTGAAGTGAGGCGTTTATAATTGTCAAGCGTCAAAAGGTGACGATACTGAATGGGGTTGTAGAAACGCACCTTGGCAGATGATGACCCTTTCCTCCTGAACTTCTCCGGCTCGGCAATGTGTTCATCCTCACTGTCTCATAAGATGGATATACATGAAGAGGGATACGGGCCCACGGTGGGAATGACAGGGTGGTCCGAGTAAATTGCAAAATGTTTGTCCAAAAACTCTTGCGCGCACACTCATGTTGTGAGGCGACAGGTTGAGTGGTACTGTCTGGTGCTAGAATTGGCGAAGGCGAAGGCATAGGGCAGCGTGAAACGCCTGGAGATGCAGAGGGTGTCAAAGCACTTGGGGGCTCGGTGAGGGAGGAGCGCTGGAGTGTGCCAAAGGAGATATCGAAGAAGAGTTGGATATGGAGGACCTGTATGCGGGAGAATGAGTTTGAGGGGATGAGTGATGAAATGAACATAAAACGTACCTGATTCACCGTATGTATTCAATCTTGGTAGTGTTGTAGCGGCTATGCAACCGAAATTTTCGAGAGACGGAGCGGACAATCTCGGAGTTGCGTGAGGATAGACAGTGATTATTCGAACGTAGAAAGTATGATTGCGTAGACGTACGGGCGTCACAAAACGGAAGGCGCAGTCATGTGATCAAGAAAACGTGGCACTTTTTCCTTGAGTGACATCATCACTCAAGGAAAAAGTGCCATGTGGCTTGTGTCAGGTGACGATCGAACACGGTTCCTGCGTACAATTTTCTGTCATCATGCTTACGTCACATGCCGTCATTTTTCGTCCTGGGGCGAAAAATGCCGTATTTGTTTGGGACAGTAAAAGTATTGTGCTTCTTACGGATAGCTGAAGACCTCGACAAATGCTTGTACGGGTCCTTCCACCTCAACTTTGTAGAACCTCTCCCTCGTGCCTTGCTAGAAGAGCTGGCAGCCTCTGTCGCCAGCGCCGGAACAGGTGACTTGGTTGAACAGGTGAGTATCTTGCGCATGTCATTCTGTTTTCAGTGTGCTGAAGCATGTTTCCAGGTTCTCAATCAATATTTATGTCACCGCTTCCTTCTACTACGCCATCTAGTCAAGCAGGGCCATCCAAGGCACCTGTAACATCTTACACACTCCTGAACTCCCCATCATCCACTGAACAACAGATAGAAGGGGAGATTGAATGCATATCCAATGGTCTCTTCAGTGCTGTTGTTACAATGGGTGAGTGCGGTATATTGATGTATCATCGATAGGTGACTTAAATATCGCACGGATAAGGCCACGTTCCAGTCATCCGCGCGCCCAAAGGCAATGCTGCGGAGATGATAGCAAAAAGCTCGATATCAAGATACGAGATGCGATTCTTTCGGCCTCCCGAACTCATGGGGCCACGTCATCATTATTCGCGCAAGATGCATCTGGCTTGTCGAATCTGCAACGACCACGTGTGTTCGTCCTATTCTTCGTGGTGTTAAACTACTGACGCCGTTCCAGTGCTGCTGATTCTTGACAGAAATATTGATCTCATTTCGATGATCTGCCACGGATGGACGTATCAAGCCCTAGTGTCTGATTGTCTAGAGATCAAGCTCAATCGCGTAGTTGTTACTCAACCACAGAAGCGCTCATACGATCTCGATTCTAAGGACTTTTTCTGGGCAAAAAATGCACCAAACCCATTCCCTCAAGTCGCTGAAGAGATCGACACGGAACTGAGCAAATACAAGCAAGATGCTGCCGAAATCACACGATCTACGGGTGTCAGTGATGTTAATGACATCTCGCAAATGTACGTGCTCTTCAAGCTTCGCCATTGTGTTTATTGAGATGAATTGTAGTGATATATCTTCCAATGCTGCACACTTGAAAACTGCGATCACACAGCTACCAGAACTGACTGCGCGGAAGGCCGTTCTCGACACCCATATGAACATAGCCACTGCATTGCTGGAGCAGATCAAGAAGCGTGCGCTTGATGAACTTTTCAGCACCGAAGAGGCCATCAGTAAACAGGTGCGGCCTCATCCAGCTAGCTCGATATTCTTCGATATTAATTGCTATCTAGACCGTTGCTTCAGTTTTGGAGATGCTCCGCTCTCCTCGTTCAAGCGGCACCTTGACACCGGAGGATAAACTGCGCCTAGTTCTTGTCTTCTACTTGTCTTCACCGGATAATGCGATCTCGAAGGACGACATTGTCGAGTTGGAAAAGGAGTTAAAGAATGCAGGAGCTGATACCGAATCATTTGAATATGTCAGACGCACAAGGGAGATCTCGCGGATGACAGTGGCTACTGCTGTTGGAGGAACCTCGACGCCCGTACTCGGTGCAGGCCAAGGAGAACTCTTCAGGGGCTTCACAGCATTCGGAAATAGGGTCAGTATTATCCTTAGCTCTCCAGATAGATGGTAACATTTTTATTATCTAGCTCACTGACCGACTCAAAGAAGGAGGTCTCGACAATCTTATCTCAGGTGTCAAGAACTTCCTACCGGCGAACAAATTGCTCCCTGTTACTCGAATTACTGAGGCGATCATGGACTCGTCTGCAGCTTCGAACCAGTCGCTGCAAGAAACAGATGATTACATTTTCCTTGACCCCCGAGCCTCTCGACACACTGGCCTCGGTCTTTCAGGAGGTACAGGTGGTCCAGGAGGCGGCTCATTAATCAACTAGTGAGTAAATTTCTTTGCAGCGCGTTATTGCACTGACACAATTTGTACTCTGCACGCGAACACTCAATGATGGCAGCTACATGACTTGTTGGTCCAGACCTTTCCTATGGTAGGGCGAGACTCCTATATTATTGTATCTTGGTTAAATATATATGTGTATCCTGAGCTTACTGGAAGTATCCGTCCGCACCACAATTCCAAACCTCCACCCAGGGTCTGTATCCTGGCGTCTTTGGTAAAAAAAAATGCACGCGTGATGTTCAAATATTTGCCAGAAAACAATGAGTGTTGCTAACTGAAACGCACAGATTTGGTGCCTGGCGGATGATCAGTTGCAGGACGTTAATCGCTGTTAGAACCTGAGGAGTCTGCTTGGTCTGTTTTTTCTGTCGACGTACGTTCCTCTGACTTAAACACAATATTTATGCGACATTATTTATATATTGGACTATGTATGTTACAATTGGCCAGTTTCTTCCCCAAAATGTGATGGGAAACTCGGCTTAGATGTTTGACGTCGATAGCATGCATATTCAAACTTCAATCTGCATTATGTAAGTGTGATGAATGATCCGGGCCTTCGATGACGTGAATATATCATTTTCCTTTACCTTTTCACCAGTGAGACCGAATTCAGGGCTGACGGTGTTCATCTTGCGGTGATGCCAATTCTGACTAGCTTGTAAGTAGATTAACAAGGCAAACAGGTTGAGCTAAACCAATGGCAGCCGAGTGCCAGAAAGGGATTGAGACCGTCTCTGTGCAGAGACAATGGACGACGTCCAAATCGAAAAATTTCCTTGGTCCGAACCTTCAGTTTGCCACATATAGGCATTTACTTCTCATTCTGGTTTTGGCCCGGATCTTCGAATTGACCTTTCAAACTTCAACAGTACTGCAATTGACATTGACTGTCTAGATCCAAACACGCACCAGCCCACCATGACACCTGAACCATCCGACATATCAGGAACATCAACCCACTTTCAAGATTTGCTCAACAACCTGAACTCTGGTGTGAGAGGCGGCCGTAGAAGAAAATTCTGGTAATTTTCAAATTGTCGCTGGTACATGTTGTCTCACCATCAGACCAGTGGTCCAATTGAACCGTACTTACATGCAGCTCGGTGGTTTCCTCTCGCGATTGACCCATTTGCTGTGCTTGAGGATGTCTTGTACGAGGGCATGGAAGCCGAGTTTTCTGAATTGCGGGCCGACACCTCAGATGAAGAAGCTTCAAGTTCAAATAAGTAAGTCTGTGGCAACCTGAGATATCCAGCACTCTGATATTTTACCTGCGCAGTCATCAGAAGGAGTTGTGTATAAAGCAATACAAAGAACTTGTGAAGCTTGTACCAACCTTCAGTGACATTATATCAGGATTTGAAAAAGTTCCGTCGGCCTTGGACAATTTTATTCATGCGGTAACACAATCATGTTCATCATTCATGTTTTTGTCTTACATCTAGCCAGCTTACCTGTGCCGCAAATGATGCGCGATCCGATGATACTGGGAGCCTAATGCGAGAGGGGCTGGTATACATGCTCAAGAACCCTGAAACTGACCAGTTTAACCCACCTCTACTCAAGCAGCATGGTAAAATCGTTCGTGGATGGAACCACCCTCAGACCGCGCGACTACTGTGCCCGATGCGGATGCTCGACGTGTTTGACAAAAATCCCCAGTAAGTCGTGCTAATATTATTCATTTGCTCTCACGTAACCAGCTATAGGGACTTCATGGATAAGGTAAAGGAAGGTCAGATCACAATTACAGTCGCAAAGCTCCCTGCATATCTATACGATGAGTCTATGTTGGACCCCGCCAGGAAAAATCGAGGTTGTCTTCGAGGATACTACCTCAAACGTGTATGCTTGTCTTTCTTATCCTTGTTCGTCGAATACTATTTTACCATTTGAGCAGGTCTTTCGCCACATATTCACTGGACCATCAAGTGCCATTTCTGCAACCGCTCACAAAGGCACCAAGGCTCCAAAAGGTCGAATTCATGGTATGACATCGCCACTACCACGAGCAATTGCATACGCAGCCGTACAGGTAAGCTCTCGTGCGAGATTCACGTGCTTTAACTGATCATCAACCTAAGGCATATTTCCAGCTTAGTTCTGCAACGCAATGGCGTCAGCAAATCGGAGACTTCGATCTCGTTCTATTGTACGATCGAGTAGTCAATATGTTCGAAGGAAATAGTATTAATAAGCAATGGGTGCAAGAAACACTCGACCATTGGAAGTCGTAAGACTATTCGACTCTCCCTTTTATATGCTGATCTATATTATGAATAGAGAGACTCCTGGACTCCTGCAGCGTGGGCGCTCCAAGGCCAGGATAGATGCAGGACTTCATGTGTTTGACAGCGAGGATGACATGGACGATTTTTTTGAATCTGATGGGCATTCTCCTGATAACGGAGAACAGGGTCCACAAGATAGGATCGAGAGCAGTGGCAATGCAGAGAACACACATGGTATTTAAAATCCCTGTAATTTGAATCGTGCATATAGCTAATGTACATTCTGGCCCAGCGGTGTCAGATAATAATGAGTCAGCACGTCAGGTAGCTTCAAGGACAGCAACACGTGCACCACGCCAGAAGAGAAGACGCTGCTGACTCCAATTCAACTTTGTCGTTCTTAAGTGCACATATTTCATTTTATTTTCATCCCGATACATTCACCTACCACGGTACCATGTCTTGTAGTGCCTGACAGCAACATATCTTTCTCGTAGCTCACCACTCCAATGTTTACACTTATATTGGCTTGTCCCAATGTCCTTGTAGTTGTCTTTCATCTTCGGTCTGTACTCTAGCTTACATTGCGCTTTATTTCTGACCTGTGTGTTCGTAGCTAAGTGTACTCTGCATTGTAATTTGATTTGCTACTAGGAAATTCAACTTTAAACTGCGAAGGCTCCTGCATGATCGCGTGCCATACCATAATTTTGCTCCATTGATTCTTTTGTTGTTGTCTACTAGATCTTTGTCGACAAATACGATCCGTACAATTTCAAGACACCCATACTGACAAATCGCCCATTCAACCTTCTTGATCTTCATCATTTTTAGGTCATGGTGTTTCTGCACCTGGTGCCAAATACTCGGTGTCACACTGTTTTTGGAACCGAGCAATGCAAATGCGGCGTTGGAGGAGTTCTAAGTTCCGAACATTCTGACCGAATCCTGACCCCAACATTTTGATATACTTAAACCCGGGCAGGCAGTATTTCTATTTCGAATCGTCGGGCCCATAAAACAATATGGAAAGGTGCGTAATCAGTACTCCCCATTCATGTACATACCATTTCAGTTAATTCAGATGCAATCTACGTCAGTTGCAGCTAGTCATTTGCGCCTTGCATGAGCCTGAAGAACCTTATTTTCAAGTCATCGGTGCAAGGTACATACCAAGTACGAGTTAGAGCCATGAGGTGTCGGTCGAATGCGTAAGAAGTCCTACCTCCTCTGGGGCACCACGTGTCAACTATGGCATGCTACACCGTGACAGTACAACCACGATAAGTCCAATGATGATGCATTTGGCCCATCCAACACTCACAAAAGAAGCAAGACTTGCGCATCAGTACAAGATGACGCCACGGCTGCAGCTCCCCACATGGCATTGGGATCAACCAAAACTTTAGAACGGTGGGTCTGATCTATGGCTCCATCGTAACAACCGCGAAAATACAGCGCAAATTATGTTTGTGGGATACCTGGGCGTAACAGGTCCTAATGCAGGTTGTCAGAGTCGGGGACTTGATGCACAAGCACCGTCACATCTTGTTCTGGATCACGAAGTCTCAATAGCCGTTAGTTGCTCAAACTACGGTGACTGGCACCGAAGTACGTGTGCTCTCCTGTGTGTTCTCCTCCATTATGAACTTAAATTTTACAGATTCAAACCTAAACGAATGGGTATAGTGTCAGAGTTGGGCCAAATGCCCTTACACTAGCATCACTCGTTGTTCCGTGCGTGATATAGATATATCCTCTTTTGTCTTCTCCCCGGAGAGTTATATACAGGCCATTCGGTAACAGGATCGTACTTTTGACTCCGCAGCTTCCACGAGTCTTGCCAATGGTGAGTATCTTGCTTTTTCACTCTTGGGCCCGCACTACTTGCAAAATATTCACTCAGGTACTCAAAATATTTACTTAGTCTTAGTACTGTAATTTGCTGATTTCTACTTCCCAGCATTTGACTCAACCAAAGTGCGGTTTGTGTGGTAGTCTCTGCGGAATATTGGTGCGTTCGTTGTCGTATCGTGATGGTGGCGAGGTCATTATCTGTACTTCGTGTCTGTGAGCTGATCAACTTCTGCTGCTGTTTTTAGCTATAAGTGACCTCGCCAGTGCTCGTGCTGTCAACAAATGGACAATAGATGGGACATTCACAATCGCGAGGTTCCTGGTTCAGAGGAAAATAGTGTACATTGTGCCGTCGCAGGTTTGAGATGTTTTTCACCCATAAAATTATATTCTGCGTGTTTGTAGCTATCAAAATGCCAGTTCGCTCCCCGCAAATGCCTGTAACAGGTCCGATATCTGCGTGTACCATCCTACCCGCAGTAATAGCATCCGGCGACCCTCACATGCAGGGTCATAGGCGAGTACAAGTATAGGTTAGCGTGTGTGTGCTCCAAACGCCGGGGCTCGAGACTAGTATGCACTGGGTACACTTGTGCTAACACCGAAGGGGAATAAAGTTATGATATGATACATCCGGCATACTTTGGCCGGTTGCAGCGACGGTACTGGAAGGAGTATGCATGGAAATTTATCACACATACAAGAGACTGCAACTGTTACAAGAGTTTATTAGTTTGTATTGACCATGATGCTAACAAGAGTCTACCGGGTGACACAAGCACAACAAGGCTTGTAGGAAGTTGCATGGAAGTTCATCACCTATACAAGAGACACGTTAGGAATGACAAACGCTACAAGAGTTATAGTAGAATGTATCAAACATGATGCAAACATGGGTCTGCCGAGTGACAACAAATGTCACAAGGCTGGTAGGAACGTGCATCGAAGTTCATCACCTACACAAAGGCCCGCCTGGAAGTACAAACATATTAAGATTTGTAGTAGTATGTATTGAACGTGACGGAAACAAGGGCCTGCCAACCAACACAAGTATAACAAGGCTCGTAGCAATATGCAGCAAATTCATCACTCACACAAGGGACTACCAGCAAGCACAATTGTCCCAAACGTTGCAGTAGCATGTATTGAACATCACTCAAATAAGGATCAACCAACTGATACAAATATAACAAGGCCGGTAATAGTATGCATAAAACCTCGCTGCATGCTCTGCTATGCTTCGTTACTTGCAAGCCCAACACAAGTCTGTCACGGGTTTGTGGGAATGGCAGCAATTGCGCACCTTGTACTGGCTGTTACTGGCTGTTACTGGCTTGTTACAGAGTGTTACATGGTATGCACCATTTTGGTTTATTTTCTGATGATATAAGCCTCTATTAGAACCTTGTTTGTCCTTTCTTTTTGTCACCGTGCCGTTTGAGCTAACCTGCGAGCGAGCAAACTAAGCAAGTGAGCGACGACGCATGATATGTGTGCATCTTAATTCTTTCTTTATCTCGCTCACTCGTCTTCTTTGAAGTTGAGAATCCGACGCGTCTTCGACTCAATACGTCGTATTCTGGCACTTTGCGCGTTCTAAGAGACAACCTCCCCCCCTTTTGACAGTCTTCGGTCGTGCGTCCTTCGCTTCACGATCATCCTTGGGAGCGCTTATATTCACCTTCGCGCATATATTGACCCTTTACCCGGGTTACGCTCATCAACACGCCGCCCTTGCAAGCATTGGCTTGGGTACTCTATGTATTCAGTTGTGCCCTTCTGCTCACCTTAGCACATATGCTTGGGGCTCTGGCATTATGTCCCGGCACTCTTCGCATGCCTTGGAGTCCCTACCTGTGCACCCGTAGTCTCATCACGTGTACGCTTCAGCGTTTGCGCATCTGACCCGGCGCTTCGACAGCTTCTTGCACGTTCCAGCCAGCGTTTATACTCGGGATTATATTCCTGCTGCCTCGGTGGCCGCATACAGGCTTCGACCCGCGTCCGTAGATTTGGCACTTCAGTAGTCACCCATGAGTTCCGGCACCCGTGTTTCAACACTCCTTGTTCTCGTACTTCGGTAGCCAATTGCAGGATTCGGAGTCTGCTTCGGCACCCTTCTCTCTGATGCTTCAGCACTCATCGCTCTGGACGCCGGCGATGACCTTGCTTTATTTGGCGTTGTTAATTCATCTGCGTCATTCTTACTAGCTAGCGTCAAAATACATTCAACCACAAACGTGCAGTCCAATCAATCGTCCAACTTCGTCGCAGCTGCCCAAATCAACCTTCTTTCCGCTTGCCTTATTTGACGCTGCTGTTTTCTCGTCGTCTTTCTTCTTTGTCTTACGAAGCGTGCAGTCATCGCGAAGGACGTGTTATCCGTTTGGCATATGACTTTGCAAGCAAGGTGACATAGATGAGTCTCGTACTACACGTAGTCGTTCTACGATGCAACCTATATTATCCCGAGTTCCAATATCTGCCTGGCCAGTGATAAACTTTCTGAGCCGGACATCGTCACAACTTGAAGTTCCCGATCTGGACTCGAAATTATTTGTAATCACCGTTGGAATTTCATCACGTGTTCTGTGACGCCATTGTTTGAATGTCATTACTATGACCTTGCTTCGCAAGGTAAAATAGTCAAATCGTTTGACTTGTCACTTGCCTACTTTGCATCTCTCATAAGTCTTGCAATATTGCTTCACATCTGCTGTACATCATGATATTTGGAGACTTGTCTGCTTATGTATTCATCGACGACCAGGAGCTCCCGGAGTATGCTGTTGTTGCTTCTAGCACACCAACGGAGAACAGAATAACCTGCTGGATCGCATCGGAAGAGGGCAAGGTGTGTTATTCATCATATATACTGGCGGAAGCCTTACATACCTCTACAAGAAATTTGGAGTCAGGTGGATGAACGCAGCCGAGCAGTCCTGGGTCATCCAAGCAGCTGTCTCCGTCGACGGTGTTCGCTGTCATGGACAGACTGTGCGCCCAGGCTGGGTCGGCACAAAGGAACGCACATGCTTGACCAATGAATCAGTCACCAGAGATTTTATGTTTTCAAACATTCAGCTTACTGGTCAGTATGCAAAAAGAGTATAGATTCTCCTCGTAACACTAAACTTCAGACGATGACTCCATGCTTGATGATCAAAATTCGAAGGACATAGGTCAGATTGTGTTGAAGGTAGAAACGGGGGAGTATAGGACGAAGCAGGTAGTTAAACATGGTAAATCGAAAAATCACACCCTCCATGTGCGAGAAGGCAAGGTACATGAACGGTCTAAGAAGGCATGTGCTCATCGTGTCATGTGCGTAGAATTTCACCCCATGTCTCACTTTTGACAACTATCATCTGTTAAGCTTCGCAGAAGAAGTTCCCCGACAAGTGCATCATCAACCATCCCGCGTCACGTTCAAACCAGATGACCGTCCTACGACTGTATTTGTGTTTAAATACACGCGCTTGGGTAGACCATATTATTTTTACGCGTATGTGCCACTCACCCATTTTGAACCTGAGACATCTTACAGGCAATGGACATAGCGCCATTGACACCGAATAACTCAAGCAAGGAAGAGGCAAATGATTATGGCGATGACATCGAAATCATTGACGGACCTTATGAGCCTTCAAGTTTGTCATTGCCTCCAAAGGACGTGAAGCCCCGAATCCAACATCTTGAGGTAAACTCTAGCCTCGGCGACATTTTCAGGGCACTCACCTCATTCTTTACTCGCAGATGGAGCTCCAGCGTTTACGTGCCCAGTTGACCTCGATATCTGAGGACCAGAAGCCCTCGCGCGTTAAGTTGGAATGCGGGGTCTCACGACGGCAGAAACCCGCTATAGAGATCCTCGATTTGACTAAGGATTAGGTTTCGTCTGTCCTTGCTGGGGTTCTCACTTGCATACCATCACATCGCTCTGAGGTAAGCATCACAGAGATCATATGTAATGCACATGCAATTCAACTCCTAGAAACTCGACGTTTTACAAAACAGGGCATACCGTATATGTTCTTTCTGTATAGTTCGAACTCACTTACATCATCATTATGGACACACATAATAGTACTTGCATCGGAACAAAGTTTTTTTTTTCATTTTTACGCCATCGTAACTGGTTCTGGCTTTATGCTTGTCGCTCATAATAATAATTTGTTGTACACTCACGGTTAATACACTTTTCTCTAGGACCCCCTCCGTTTGAAACTCCTGAGTGCTCTCACATTTTACGCTTGACGAATATACTAAGCATACTTCGATGCTGGGGAATACTCTTCAATGCAGGTTGAACACTGCGCGATGGCTGAAAATGAAACTTCAAGCCCAGCTAAAACCTACAGTTGGCAGAATGTGGCCGACGATGGTCAGACGTGAGGAGAATGTGTAAAACCTGGTCAGACGAGACGGATGGATCGTGACGGGACGTGGACACGACATGCACTGTTCCGAGCTCCAGACACGTTCACTGACGATGAGAGCGCACTGGCATACAGGTGTTGAGTTGTCCCCGTCCCAAAGGTGCTGCTTCAGATTTTTTGCAAAAAGGTAGGCGAAGGTGGTGATGGTCAGGAATAAAGATGCTCGTGCGCACGCACAGCTGCTCTAATCAAGACTCTCACCATGTCAGTTGCCTAAAGTTCCCAGTGGTCGAGGATCGGACGTTTAACCCAGTGCCTACAACCGCCTTAGATATCAGGCTATACCACATTGGAGGGAAATATTTTTACGTGATTAATGATACAAGAGTGCAGAGAAACCAAGCGAAACGAGAAATAACGATACATCGATATGAACTACCATAGATCTGCATCAAATCGCTCGAGGACAGAATTCGCATCTTCTACATCCTTTTGCGCCTTCTTTCGCATGTAAAATATCGGACAGTCCTTGCTAGAACATAGCACATCCTATCAACCAGTGTCAGTGACAGTCAAAGCAACCACAGACATAACCTCACTTGATGCAAAGAGCCCTGACAACGTTGGCATTGCGTCCACAGTCGCGAGAACCGCACTTGCAGTTGCGATGCGCTGGTGATTTGCTTTTGATATAATTCTCCCATCTTTGGTCGACAGTTATTGCATACGGCGCCATCTGCAGCAAAGGCGATAGTGAGATAGGATCAGAAGCTTACTTGTTTCGGCTCACTTGTTACGCTGTTATTCGACCGCAGTGGAGTTTTGCAGCCAAGGCATGTTACCGTCTTCACTGCGAACTTCATCAAACCTCCGACTGTTGGTGTTGCGATCTGGATTGTCCGGGTGTGCGCGCCAGATACTGTGGAACGTATCAAAAGACGAGATTCATGCAGCCAATGAAGCGACCTACATAGCGATGCTGCCTTCTCACCCAGGATGGGTTCAAAAATTCTCATAAGAGGATTCGAGAGCTGGTTTTCGAGGTAGTATTTAGTATCGATAGGAATGTTATTCTCCAATACATAAAGAGGATCCTCGGATTTTTCGTACGCAGCAGCACCTATTCTCAAGTCAGCATAGAGCTATGATAGTTGACAGGAATTCGACCTTTAATCCCCTTAACAATAACGTAGGCGACACGGTCACCCAAGGCCGGTGCAGAACCTGACCATGGATATTAGGACTCATATCGGACGTCCACATCAGTCACAAACCTGCGTCACGTTGCCGCATGCGCTCTGCTAACTCCACATGCGCTTGCTTCGCAGCATAGTCTACAGACATCAGAGCACCAGTCACTTCTTGTTCAAAACTCACATACCTGCTTTGGCCAGAGCCTTTGTAATCACCAGTTGGGACATATCCACTTTATTCTGCAGAAGATCGGATATGATGCGTTTTGTATACCTGGGATAGTTGAGCTACCAACCAAAAGACAAGGAATGTATACTTACTCCTCAGCTCCTCTGACGTCTCGATCGATCAACATCTTATGTAGGCAAGTCTCAATGACTGTCGATACTAGCCGACAGTTGTCTCTCCGGACCGTCTAGATCCCATAATTCAGTACATCCACGATAACCTACTAAAGATGAGAACAAACTTCGATCCCCTTTGAGTCCATCTTGTCCCATTTGTCTGGCTTTGTCCAGTAAAGTCCAGCGTACCGCTTCTTGCTGATGAGAAGATACGGGTAATAAACTTTCTCGAACTCAAGCTTGATAGGTCTGATAAATTTTGCCGTCACAAAATCCGCCGCCTCTGCTCCTGTAGAACATTGTAAGTCGCATGCAAGTTAGGTTGTTAGTTGGGTACTAACCAAGAGCCATGACCTTTTCCAACTCCGCAGGCCCAAACTTGACCATGACAGAGTCAGTGTCACCATAAATCACTTCGGCATTATGAGCGTGTCCATTATTGATGGAGAACTCTGCTTCGACTTCCTACAAAGGGCCGTTAATCAGGTGTTCATTGGCGGACAGACTACGACTTGCCTGCTTAGTCTTCTCGATCATCTGACGCCCATATGCTGTCACACTGGAGGAGATCGGAAGGCAGGGCAATTTTCCAATCGTCGCACCAGTGAATCCATAGACAGAGTTGGCACTGATCTGCAATTCAGTGACATCAGATAGGGTCACTGTACTAGCTGAATCCACAGCACCTTCAAGGCAAGCTGACGACCGTCCAAGACTGCACGCTTGGATGGATCGGTCTCCTTCTTGAGATCTGCCTTCGCACGCTTACGAGCAGAGATCAAATCTTCTAAGACAGTAGGTAGTAGACCCTTTCGTTTTGCCGTAGTAGCGAAGAAATCTAATCAGAAGCATTAGCCAGTTGATCTAAAAACTGCTTACCAACGGCTCTGACATACCGTTATTGGGGGTTTGGATATAGTCTACGTCCTTGGCAAGCTGCAAGCGATCAATGGTACTCTTTTCGAGGAGCGTCGTATAACACAAATTATGTGCCATCATGATAGACGGATACAATGAGCTGAAATCAAGAGTTGCAATCGGTGTATCGTAGTAGCCTTTCTTCGGCTCGATGACAGTGGCACCTTCGTACTGCTCATCCGAGCCCTCGCCCTTCAAAACAGGAATGACATATCCCTCTTCGTTGGCTTTACGAAATAGCTGGGAAAGCACCTTGATAGACTGGCCACGAGAAAGGAGGTAGTTAAAGGGAACGCCTGTAACACGTGCCATCTCAGTGTAGTTGACGAAGCACATAAGCTTGTCCATCAGGCGCTGGGGGAGATATGCATCCTAGCAATTATAAGAACGATAAAGATGTCATAAAAAGACTCGATCACCTTCAAACAGTAGACGGCCAGCCGACGTCTGGACTCCGGAGTACCATTCTGCAACTCCGTGATAACGGAGTGGTGCACATCCTCCTTTTGCTCACCAAGGAATTGTGCGCAAACAGAGTTGAGGGTATAACTACGTAGCTTGTGTTCACGTTGCATGAATTGCAAGACGTCGAGTTGTAGTCGACCTTCTAGCTCTGTATCTTTGGAATCACGCTGCCCGTATGCCTTCGAAGAGAAATGCGTTTCCTTCGTTTGAGTTTTGGAACCTTTGAGACAAAATAAATATGATCTTATAACAGCAAACAGAGATGCGTACCTTTCATGCGACCAAGAAAAGGGAACTTATTTGCCTTGAGATGCTTTGCTCGATCCATGAGATATGGAAAATCGAAGTTTGCAATATTGTACCCAATGACAAGATCTGGGTCAACCTCTTCAATAAAGTCTCGCCAGGCCTGCAGCATCTCAGCCTCGTCGTCAAACGACATCACTTGTGAGCCGACGATGTGTGAACATGTATTCAAGGTGAAAATATTGCGAATGAACGGCTTGGTCTCGCCTTGAAATCCAGGGTGAGCGAATACATAGAAAACTTCAGATCCCATACCTTGCCTCGTCACCATGTTAGCAATTTGGATGACTGGATCAACCTGTGCCTCGGGGAATATGCCCTTCCGGCCAGCACACTCAATATCGAAGCTCAGTATACGAAGAGGTGCAAACTTTTGCCAGTTTTCTTCCGGTGGGTGCGAGATGAAGGCATCCCACCTAGTGCAAAGCATCATCAGACATCTATGCACACGACAAAGCGGAGTAAAAATTACCTGACTTTAAGCTCAATCTGACATGTGGATTTCTTGTCTTTTTCGGACACAAGTTTGTATTGACCGGCAGGAATCTCAATCCAGTTCATGCCTACAACCTGCAGAAGTGTCATCTCAGAGTTCTTGTGACATGTGTTTCCATACCTTGGTATCGATCATGAAACGCAGGGTGTACGCAATGTTACTCTCGAATGTTGAACAAGGTTGTCCGGTGGGGAAAAGGTCTCGAAACCCGCACTCGCCCCTCTCAAACAAGCGTATTGGTCAAAGATCAATAAGTACATGCAGAAAGCATTGGTGCAGGACGAAACAAAAAAAAACTCATCTCGAATTTTCGGGAGATTCCTCGGTTCGGATATTGTAAGTTTCATGAAAAGAACCCAGTCATCTCCACGATAACCCCAAAGGCTGCGCCGCTTGACAATCTCTATCTGCCTCACGAAGTTGCCTTGAGCCTGTTTCTGTAGGCAAGTTCAGCCACGATACACCTTGTACGTAACCATGATGCATACGTTTAACTGATCTGCAAATGCGTCAATATCTGACTCATCAAAGCCGCGAGGGACGGCGACATAGAAGTAAGGAAGGAAACCAGTGACATATGCGAGTACGCTATTTCCGTCCTGTAAGATAATTTGAGAACTCCGTGAAAGCGCAAGTATAAAGAAAGTACCTCTGTCACGCCAAACAGCCTCAATACGATAGACCCATTGCTGTAGTCCGTTGCTTCGTCGACATCGATTTGCTGAAATACTGTAAGGGGGAGCATCGTAAGTTAATGAGCCTCAGGCAACATGTGTACATACTGATGCTATTTCGCTTCTCATTAATGGAGGGAAGATTCGGGCGGGCCCAGCTATCAGCCCCACCCTCAGCAGCTTTTCTTACTATCAATAATCAAAGTAATGGTGAGTTCTCCACGCTACGTACCGACACCGTCATGTGCTCTGTCCTGACTCAGCTGTTCTAACACATCTGCGAAGGACGAATCTTGCGTTTTCTGGGAGTTGGTTGGGCCAAGCTTGCGCCTTTTCGCGGCAGGTTCCGAGCTTACATTCGGCTTGGTGCTGTCAAACATGTATCTGAGTAAAGACGTTTGTGACGCGTTCTGGTCCTTACCGTGTGCGCGCTGTTAGCTGATTTTGTCGTGTGGAATTTGTCGGGCCAACCATCGTCGCGTCTCAGTAGATGAGAGGAATAGTACAAACAACGACGTGTCACAAGCGCGCCGGGTAGTAGGCGATGTAGACCTGGTCACCGAGTACTAAAAGTACTAATGTACAAGACTTGAGCGAACGCGTTTTGAATTAAAACACGTATGGTCGTATTTGTTCGCTTATGTTTGGCTTATGTACACAATTCAGTCCAAGTCAATTGCAAGGTTGAATGGCAATCTATAAGCTAGTCCATGTATAGTTACGAAGAGTCATTGGTATAGTTGTAACTGTTATCCGAAATTCTACGCGAGTCCATGGGTTTTGAATCTACAATTTCATGTGACTTTCGAACTTACATTGAGCACTTCATGACAGGAAAAGTTCTGTGCAGATTCTCATCGTATCTGCAGGATTTTTAACGGTGTGCCCGACAGTACGAGGATCACTGAAAATCTCGTAGTCGTTACCCCCCTTTACAGAAATTATCAGGGGGATGAAATTTGACCTAGTAACAAACTCGACTCTTACCTTGCTTGTCTTGTCCCCGAAAAAGTGGATTTCTTCGAAGTCATCTTTCTCGACATGTCTAAGGCAGTAAGTCTTGTCCCATCCATGCGGAAAGACATCAAATGATATCTCGCCACCGATAGAGAATGTCAAATTCAGTCGTTTGAATTTCTCCCGGAGAATTTCTACAAAGTCCGCCCTAATGTGGTGTTCCTGCCGAGGATCCGTGAGTAACATAATGAATGGTTGTCTCATGTTACTACCTTGTCGTAAGCCTGGAAATCTTTGCGTTCCTTGATACTGCGGAGCCAAGGGGTGTTAACACAAGTCCAGGGAATAGCACGTAAATGAACCCACGTTGCATTGCGGCCGATAGGGCTGACATTGATCATGCCATTGCGGAACTCGACGAATGTTCCACTATAAATCGCAAGTGAATGGGTCGATCGACCGCCAAGGATCAGAGAAATTCACCGTTTGATTGGGATGTTCACGTCAGCAATGTAATGCAAGATGAAGTTGACCAGCTCCTGATAGTCCTTTTCGCCTACCATTTTGATGAAGGACTGAGACTCTAGCAGCTTTCCGAGTCGATACGCGATAAGGCCGTTCTCAGCGAAGCCAAAGTCAAATTCCAGAACTGCAGATGCGTATGAATATGTTAGCAGTCAATGAGGAAAAGCTTCGTACCATTGAAATCACCAACATTGAGCTGGTCAGATATCTTGACGAAATCAGACCCACCAACAAAGCCTATAGCAACATGCTTTTTGAGGTCGCGTAAGAGCTGGATCATTTCTGGACATGCCCTCTGTCGGGAGATCTTGACATCAAGCATGATAGTCATCTGGAAGCTGGATTACCTGACGTGCGGGCGTTAACGTCTCATCGACATCGAATAGCACGAGCTTCTTGACTGGCCGTTCAGCGAAATCTGCAGACACCATGATGGTACGGTTGTAAACCTACTTTAGTGGCCAATCAGTCCAAGTACTACTACATTCGGCCATCTCCGAAAGTATGACATTAGCCTTTGTCGGTGACTCTCATCCAGTCATCTTACCGGGTCCGTGGTTTGCCCTATGCTACCATTTTTCGCTCAGGTTTTATTCGCAGACTCATAAGAAAAACCTGCGCAAATGGCCCAGAGATACCATGTCTTTTCGCTGCCTCCTGAATTGCTGGAGACCCTTGTACCTCGGAATCTAATCAGTCAACCACCACCCCCGGCAGTCTCGACTATCATTCAAACAGCTCCTCCAGTATCAGACAACGCGAGAGCGTGTAACATTTGTCTCGGAGCGACATTTGCAGACGTAACTGAGCAACGATCCCATTTTCGATCCGACTGGCATCGATACAATGTAAAGATTCGCCTGAGGGGTGGCAGCCCTGTGACGGAGCTAGTATTTGCGCAGCTTGTTGACGGTACGCACTTCAAACTACTCGTCATTCGCTTTTACGAAATATACCTCGTATAAGCCAGGCCTTGAAGATTCCCTTTCAGGGTCTGCATCATCTGACGAGAGTTCTGATGACTCCGATGCAGTCAAGGTCCTGGTGAACAAAACAAAGCGAACGTCGAGATCACCTTCCCTCAGCGAGGAGCGACAAACACCACTTACAGCGCTTACCTGGTTTCATTCGCCTCCATCCACTCAAATCGGGGTGTACAGAATGCTATTTCCAATAGATACCCCTGCTCCGTCATACTTGGCGGAGCTGAAGAGCATTCAAGAACGTGTGGAAGGTGGACGAAAGTGGGCTATGTTTATGGTTGCTGGAGGTCACTTTGCAGGCGCAATAGTAGAAGTCAGTAGACCTGCAGAAGACCAGGATTCTACTTTCTCTGCAAAAACGAAGAAGAGACCGCCAAAACCCAAGCCGGAGACATCAATTCTGAAACACAAGACATTTCACCGTTACACTAGTAAGTGTATTTATGATTGTTTTATTCATTGTACTGAAAAAATCGCGTTTAGCTCGCCGTAAACAGGGTGGTTCGCAATCGGTAAATGACAATTCCAAGGGTGCTGCGATTAGTGCAGGTGCTATGCTTCGTCGTTATGGCGAGCAAGCTCTCCGAGATGTAAGCGAGCCTTCCTTTTCGTTCGCTATAGCTGAACATGCACTCCTAGGATATCCGTAACCTTCTTCTTGACTGGGCTGATGACATTCAGGACTGCGAAAGAATTTGGTTGCGTGCTAGTGTCTCTAACAGGCGCATATTTCTCGACTATGAAAATTGCGTCATCAACAAAGGAGACGATCGTCTGAGAACGTTCCCTTTTCCAACGCGCCGACCAGTACGTTTTTTTTTTACCGCTGTCACTCGCGTAATTGTTATTTTTCTACTTGCAGACTCAATCTGAGCTTGTGCGATGCCTCCTGGAGCTCACTCAAGTTAAGACGTCACACCTTACAGAGGAAGCGCTTAGAGCGCAGGACGAAGCGTTCCTTGCCTCCTTGCCCAAGCCCAAAGCCACACCTTCCGTCGTGCCCACAGCGGTGCCTGAAAAGGCAAAACCACAACGATTGACTAAGGAGGAGGAAGCCTACCGTGAGAAGTGGTCTCGATTACTAGATATGATCAGCAAAGGTCGCTCAGAGCCTTTGAAATCCTTCTGGGAGCGCGAAGGCGCTTCCCTCGGTGGTGTCGATGCCCTCATACCAGAATGGACAGGGGATAGGCATGCATCGTTGCTCCAGATCGCTGTGCAATCAGGCCAGGAAGACGTTACACGCTGGCTGTTGTACGAACTGCACGCCGATCCGACCATCCTTGTTCCGTCTTCAGGCGTACTTCAGGAAGCTGCCAACGAATCTGACACATCGAACGCGCCTCCTTTACAGGGTGTAGGTTCGCGCCGTACTGCCTATGACTTAGCTCGTGCAAGGGCAGTCCGTGACATTTTTCGCCAGTGCGCGGGAGATCACCCTGACTGGTGGGACTGGTTCGGGGCGGCACATGTACCAAGCACCTTCAACAAGGAAAGGGAAGAAGCGAGGGACGAGAAGAAAAAGCAAAGAAAGAAAGGCCTGAAAGAGAAAATGCGGGAACGGGAGGCCAGAGACGGAGAACGAGAAAGTAAACAGTCTGTCATTGATGACGAACAGGTGGAAGCAAAGTCGGAGCCTCGTTCTCAAGACCCTACAGCTCCCCGAAAGCTCGGAGGTTCGTCCGGCGCAGTTGATGGCGTTGTCGGCTTAACTGCTGAGTTGAGAGCAAAGGTGGAACGGGAACGAAGGGCCCGAGCGGCTGAAGCACGGTTGAAAATTCTTACTGGAGCATGATGGTAGATGTAGTTCATTACCAGCCTGATGGAACAAAATTACATGGACCACAAAAAATGAAATGAATGAGAATGGGCATTGGGCCACATCCCTGCCCTACTAACAGACTCTGGACCCTGGTGACTGCACTATTAGGACATGGTTGTCAACAAAGCATTTTGACCCTGCCACGAGGCACAGTACTTCACATATAAGTAGTGTGGATACAAATGTGACTTCCAACTCTTGATTTACAAAGCTTAGAGATGTCCCTATGAAGAACAACCATTGCTCGAAATCATGTTCAGCTGAGAATGAATCTGAATCATCCCACGGCGAGCGAGTGATGGTGACAAGTCTGCCAGCCTAGCCCATTTAGATTGTAATGGGAGTTGATCTCAAGTGACACTGTTACACTTCACAGACAATCAGGTGAATGTGGTATATAGCCTAGAGTCCAACAGCGAAGACATATGGTGAAAACAATAGTCATCATCTGACCACAAGGTGGTCATGGATGTTTACCTATGTTTATTGTTGTCATGAAAAACACATCATTCAACCTTTTCAACCACCAATCTTCTCTTAGATGTCTGAGGTTGCTGGGCCCTCAGATCTTCTCCTTTCCCCTCATGAAATTACTAATATTGCTCATCAAGTAATCAGACCCATGCCATGCGAGTGGGAAGGGTGCACAGTTATTCTTAACAGTTGGTATAATTTAACAAAGGTGAATCTAGATTTGCTCTTGATCTACTTTAGATGTACTAGATACTAGTCATAGATGTTCTGATGGTGGTGTGCTGAGCTGTACTTCTCTCTAGGGGTACATTAGAAAATCTTCAGCTGTCACACTTTGCTCTCTAGTCAACAGTGCTGAGTGGTCATGCTGAAGGTTTTCTAATGTGCTCTTGGAGTGGGTATTCACTCACTCTGCCCATTTCATCTGCATCATCCTCCATTACTGGTCAGTACTAATACAAACCTCCTCTTTACACAGCATACCTTAAGACACTGTGATCGCATATCCAACATAGTGAGTTTTTTTCATCCACAACTGACCTCATTTTGCTTATCTACTGTCCTTGTAGGAGGGACAGTACCAATGTCATTATCTTAGATGTGCAGGTCGTGTGCACATCACGAAGGATGCACTGAAAGCACATGTGGACCTCAGCCATTTGTCTCGTCTTGCAATCAGTTGTCCAGTCCAAGGTATGTCGCACTCTAAAAATGGCAATCTACTTCATTTTCAGTGTCATATTTTCAGATTGTGAGCGAGTTTTTCCGCGAGCATCTCAACTCGAGCTCCACTTCACGACCGATCATAAAGATCTCGTCAATAGCCCTGTGACTCTGGCCTTTGACAGGCTCGTTGCTACCGCACCACCATCACGACGAATTGTGACTCATCCCCCACCATTACCGTCGTATCATCAACTACCTAATTGGCAATTCACTGTTCCTCTCGTCTCACTGCCACCTCACAAACCATTTGGTCCACTCGCGCCGGTGGAACCAATTTCCCGAAAATGGAGACGATTGGATGCACCAGACAAGGATGACTCAAATTCGAACCACATCATCCCACTCGATGATCTGGTCCGCCCAGTGATTCCACCTCAGCAGTCGAAGCCACTTGTGCTCCACGTACGAAGGCAGCCGCCGTCATTGAACGAGAACCAAAGGCTCTCGTATCCTCAATCCATGCCTAGCCCACTTCCGCGCAATGATTTCGTTCCTACGACCATCGGTATTTCCATCTTCGAGCGGAAATTCGGAGAGCTTGCAAAAGATGGAGTGGTCAATGGAGGAGCATAGCTTAAGTCTTGCGACTGTAGGGGCGAGAGACAGAGAGCCGTGGTCGCTACTAGTAATTGGCTATCGTTGTCGCATCATGTACTGTTCGTCGTCGTCATTTTGTACTGTCTTCATTGTCCCATTCTGCTACCGGTACATTATATACTGTCATTCGACAGTATTGCATTGCATTTCTGCGGTGTATAGTTCAATATGATGGCTTTTCTTTCTCTCTGTTTTGTTTTCCGATCGGCCAGTCAACCAGAGCACAGGCTCTCGAGGTTCATATCTGCCGTTAACTGTGCCTACTCATTGAATTCATCTGCTGTTTGGGAGACTCTGGAGCTTGCGGCTTGGCTGTACAATTCTTGTGCGCTCATGGATAGAGGACATCGAGAGTTGGAGTTTGTCCTACTTGTTCCCTCGACGTTTAAAGACAAGATAGGCTATGTGCAGTGAACATTTTGCGGCGTCCTTACATGCATGAATCATAACGACAAGTAGTAAACATAATTACTAGCACACTGATGCACAAAGTATGGCTATAATAGCATAGGCCTATACTTCCGACGTCTCATTGCAATTTTAGGTCTATGCAGTGTTTCCCTCTGCGAAGGTGAGGAGATCAGAGTCTCCAGGATCGGTAACAGTCATGACGCTGAGAGAATCCGTTTAGCTTGTTTGAGTTAAGAATCGAGATATATGGGACTACGCACCCGACACGGAAAAGCTTTCCAGCGGCAGTGCCAAGTGCGACATTCGTGCCAGAGAAGTGGTGCACGGTTGTCTTCGACAACATGGCATAGTACTCGAGCTCAGATTTGCGTAGTGGTGGGCAGTTGCCAGCAATCAGAACGAGCTTGGCTAAATCATCGCGGATGCGAGTAGAACAAACACAAAGCAAATTTATTGTCAGCACAAGGGACCTTCTCAGCCTCACGCTCCAGTCCCCGTGAGTGCGAAAGAGTGCTCACCTTTGCCGCTGCGCATCTGCTTGAGAGCAGACTTGTAACCAAGGGTGTACTTCCCCGACTTAACGACGAGCGCAAGACGAGACGAGATGGACTCGGACGACTTGGTTGCCTTAGACTTCTTGGAAGGGGCCATTGGTAAATTTAGGTATGTCGGGGAGTCTTGAGGAGCTTGATGACGAGCGGCTTGTGGATATGACAAAATCTAACTTTCAGAATGATGGATGAACTGTACAGTTTTGGCCAAAACGGGTTCAACTCCGACAGAACCACCCCCAATCAAGAAGTCAACTTTTACAGAACTGCAGTGAACATAGCAAAAGTTGTTACAACGAAGCTAGAGACATTTCTAGAATAGCGTGTGGCCCCTTCTCATTATAATCAGTCTTTGACACAAAGTTCTTCCCATGTGACTCATTGAACGCGATCTAAGGGGGCTCATCAACCGAAAGACCTTGAATGCGATCGAACAATACACATACCTTCGCAACAATGCTAGTACCAAGGAAAGCCGCAAAGCCATCTCCTTTTTCTCGGTATTCAGCAAAGTATTCAGGCACGGTCAGTACTCGAATCGACCGCGGCTGCACATCAGTTGCCTGATCTGGAGTGCTAAGGATGAAAGGCGCTAACCGCGACTGCAGTGCAGCTCCGATGCCTTTGCACGATTAATTCCGACTTTACTGGTGGTACATGATCACGCACCTTTGACATGATTTGTAAGATCGCCATTAATAAACAAACCTTGCCAAATGTATTGCCTTTGGGCGACATCCGTTTGGCGAACGGAAAATGCAACAGCCTCCTGCAAGGGCAATATTCTCCCTTCATAAGGATCCACACGCTCGACAGGCAGCCCGTTCAGCAGCATAGGATCAAAAAGCGGCTCGCAAAACCGATGCCGCTCTTTGCCCAGAGTGATAGAGTGTCCGCGGAACTCCACAGTGACAAGATCAAGTGCTTCAATCTCCCTCGCCCGAGCTTGCTCTGCAGCAGAAGCCTTCGCAGTCAGCTTTTTTTTCATCCCCGTCTCAATGACGGCCTTTTCCTTGCCAGCAACGAGGACTGCTGCTATATCTGTGACTCCTTCATCTTCTGGTATATCTACCGTTTGCCCGTCTGATGGAACGCGGACAAGGCCTTCCAACCAAACATGCTTAACTAGATCGTCTAAGAATCTTTGAGTAACCTCCGGGTCACTCAGTTTGTCCGGAGGTGATGCCGCCGCCATGACTGACTGATTGAAGCGCAGGAGGTTGGCGAGGTAAACTTGACAATCTCTGATGCCTACAGGTGTAGACGAACGAGCGTTTTGCATGATGAATCCATCGTAAATTGGGGTGATGTCGGTTATTTCGTGACCGATATCGACCACGACTCCGCTGAGCTGTCCAGCGGCATAGAGCTGGGCCATGGGGCGGTCAAGGAGACCGAAGCCTGCGACATTGAAGCGCTCGAAAAAGATTTGGCATATGCGTTCTGACGAATCTCTGAAGAGGCCTGCTGGCATGGACAGCATAACAGGGACACTCGTTCTGAGTTCGCTTGAGTTGAAGTGTATGGAACAGAACATATTTCCTTGGTCACACTATGTGAGGTGAGGATACAATAATAGAATCACAAACATACCAGAGTGCCTCCGCTTGAGTCCAATCACGAACATCACCATCTGCAAATGGCCATGAGACGATAATATCATGACCAGCTTCGAGAGCTTCGTCTAGTTGTGAGCCGACGAGATAGTCGTGAACCTTCGCCGAGGGACTAGGCTGAGAAGGCAAAGTCGACTGCACGACTGCTGGATGCAGGAGTGACGCAGATTATCGCTACTCTCGCCTGGCTTCAGAGAGAAGTGAGCCATTTGCACTATCACCTGGATTGCGTCGCAGACCGACGCGAGCTTGTATTTCCTGTAGCATGTATCAATATGGAATCTCAGACACGAAAATGAATGATACGAACAATAGATGGCGCCTTGAGCAGATCTTGCAAGCCAACGCCTGCTCTGATGAGTGTTCTGCCGGATTCAATGATAACGACGGACGAGTCTCGGAAACTGACCATCGTGGAACGCTAGAATTAGGTGATTTCGGTTGTGGACGCGGTGTTTACATCATGAACCAACTTTACTATCCGAGATACTGGTTACCCGGCTGTATCATACAAACGGATTCAGAAGACTTCGAATCTAGTCTCTCATTCTCCAACCATGATGTACATGCCAACGGAAGCTGAAGTTTCTGCGCTGTGGCCTCAGCTCAACATCCCAGAGTCTGGAAATAAGCCCTTCACTGACTACAGCCGTTGGAGGTTGCTCGTAAATGACGGCGGAAGGCACACATGGCACTACCTTCAAACAGATGAGGAGTGCGAGAAGTGGCCTCAGAATGATGTAGACAAGTACTGGATTGGTATTCCACTAGTAAGTGTATCATTCAAATTTTAGCTCACAAACGCGCTCAGGCCTCAGCCGAATAGAATTTGCCCGACCTTCCTAAGCCCAACGATGCGCTGGATGCAGCCCGCAATGGGTATACATTCTACAAGCACCTTCAGTCTCATGATGGACACTGGCCGGGCGAGTACGGTGGCCCCATGTTCCTTCTCCCCGGCCTTGTTATTGGGTCATACGTGTCTGGCATGAGCTTCAAGGAGGAGGAGCGTCTGGAGATGATTCGCTATCTTCTGAACCATGTCAACTCGGAAGACGGTGGTTGGGGAATGTAAGTTGTAATGCAATATTTGCTATTCGCCCTGTTTCATAAATCCATACAGACATATTGAAGGACACTCGACCGTTTTTGGGACAGCGTTAAACTATACCGCTCTCCGGATTCTCGGTGTGCAGGCAGACCACCCAGCTGCTGTAAGAGCCCGTGAGACATTGCACAAACTTGGTGCGCTCATCCTTCAGCTTTGTTGGTGTATGTGGCCTAATTCTTCAAGTACAGGAGGAGCCACTGGTGCTCCTGCATGGGGCAAGTTCTGGCTCGCGATCTTGAATGTGTATGATTGGGCTGGTGTGAACCCAGTCCCTGCGGAGCTTTGGTCCGTTTGCAAGCTTTCATCTTGGCACCTGAACTAACACCTGAACTATCTGAAAGGCTCCTTCCTGATTGGCTGCCTTTCCATCCTCATCGCTGGTGGATACATACCCGGACTGTCTATGTGCCCATGAGCTATCTCTATGGCATCCGATTTAAAATGCAGGAAAATGATTTGATTCGAGCCCTCCGAGAGGCGAGAATTCTATTGCTGAATCTTACCTTTTGTTTGCTGACGCTCCAACTTCCAGGAACTATACCCAACTAACTATTATCAGATCCACTGGCCCTCGCAGCGTAATAACGTGTGTGCAGCAGACTTGTATTCCCCTCATACCACTGTCCTGGACGTTATGAACTCTGTTCTTTCAATGTATGAGGGCTGCGTTATCCCTCCCCTCCGCAGGGCAGCTCTCACACGTGCATACCACCTTATCGTTCTCGAGGACGAGAACACCGAATACCAGACCCTTGGGCCTGTCTCCAAAATGATGAACCTCATCTGCCGTGCTCATGTCGAAGGCCCCAACAGTGAAGCATACAAGCAACACGCTATTAAACGCGCAGATTTTATGTGGCTTGGCCAGGAAGGCATGATGATGTGTGGGACGAATGGGAGCCAGCTATGGGATATTGGCTTCATCACGCAGGCGCTCGTTGAGACCGGCCTTGCGAAGGAGGAGGTGAATAAGGAAAGTTTGTCGAAGGCGCTTGGATGGTTGGATATTTGCCAGATCAGAGAGAACCCGAAGCACTACGAGACATCTTACCGTCACACCACCAAGGGAGCTTGGCCATTTAGCACCAAAGAGCAGGGGTACACGGTCAGCGATTGTACTGGCGAGGGGCTGAAAGCGGTCTTGTATTTACAAAACCAAGTCGAGTTGGTATCACTGTTATCTTTTTGGACTGTCAACTGAACACTCTAACAGAGGCTCGGAGAAAATCATCTCAGACGAACGACTTTTTGATGCTGTAGACGTCATGCTAACTATGCAGAACCCGAATGGCGGTTTTGCCAGTTATGAGTTGGTCAGGGGTCCCAAGTGGCTCGAATGGCTGAACCCTGCAGAGGTTTTTGGTGAGTCGTTTACTCTCATAACTTTCACTATTCAAATGACGACTTGTAGGTGACATCATGATCGAGTTCTGTTATCCAGAGTGCACAACCTCCGTGATTACGTCGCTGTCTATCTTTAGGAAACATTATCCAGACTACCGGTCTGCTGACATTGAGTGAGCAAGGAGCCGCTGTTCTGCTTATCGTCCTGACAATTATTTCAGAAAAACTATCAAAGGTGCGATCAGGTTCTTACACGAGGCGCAAAAAGCCGAAGGCGGCTGGGTTGGCTCCTGGGGAATCTGCTTCACATATGCAACGCAGTTTGCTCTTGAGAGTCTGTCGCTAGTTGGAGAGGACTATTCAAACAGCTCCCACGCACAACGGGCGTGTAGGTTCCTTCTCTCATGGCAAAGAGAAGATGGTGGTTGGGGCGAAAGTTATAAAGTAGGTGCATCCAAATTTACATCCGGGACTGGATTCCTAATTTGTTCCGTAGTCCTGTGAACAGGGTACCTGGATACAGCACGAGAACTCTCAGGTCGTACAGACCTGTTGGGCGACCATGGCCCTCATGTACGCGAAATATCCCGATCCCGAACCTATTCGAAAGGCTGTCAAGTTGGTCATTGATAGGCAATTACCCGTGAGTTCAGCACAAATAATGATGATCTCCAAAAACTTAGTCACGACGCAGGATGGATCATGGCCGCAGGAGGCGATTGAAGGAGTGTTTAACAAGAATTGCACTATATCATACCCGAACTTCAAATTTTCATTCCCTATTTGGATGCTTGGAAGAGCGTATCACTACCTGAATGAGCTGGAGGAGCAAGCCGGGCAGACTCTTACGATGTGAATTTGATAAGATGACTGCTTGTTGCTCGAGTTGTGTCATGGGAGGGAGAGTTCCGCGTTGTTCCATATTGCGAAGGGCTCCGATAGCTCATATACCTGTATCTCGAATGATATTTTTGTTATTTTACCAGGGGACTAGTACTACTTGGCAGTTTCGTAAGGTCACCTGTCCATGTCACCGTGGGTGCACCGGTGAACAGGCAAACTTGAATTCGGAATTCGGTAGGATGCGGGCAAACAAATGGCACAAGATGATGTGCTTTTGCTGTCAGCCGATTTGAATCCAGCGTTCAAATGGTCTCATCGCATCTTCAGTGTCTTCTCCCTCCGCTCTGCTTGCAGTCAGGGTAGGTCCATCGTTTTTCTTACTGACAATTTGCATTTGATTTAGTTAATAATGTGTTGCAGCCGACACTCATCAAAGTCATTATGTCAAGCGCCACCTCCAGTGTGGCCCGGGTGGCTTATTTGGCTTCGGATATCATCGTAGATTCCCAGCCCACCCTTCCATCCACCTCACAATTCGCAAAAGAGTATAGCTCACTCTCTGCGACTTACAGTCGACGTCCGACAATCTTGTCGGTGCCCCTAGGTGGCGATCCAGGGTCAACATTACTCAGAAACGGATCGGCTGCTGGACTCATCTCGTTCACCTCTTCAGCAGCAGCACAGACTGTAATCAGGCTTGTCCTGGATGCCGCTGAACTTTCTTCACTTCCCCTTGTCTTGCATCTTGCCGTGAAAAACGACTTGTCCGAAGTTCTTCTGCTCCATTCTGCCATCCCTTTTTTCCTCGTCTCCAGAACCCCCCAACAAGCACACGATAACTCACTCCTGGCATCTCGGTTAGCACGGACGGAGAAGAAGGCAGTCGTGCATGTCTTTTATGACGCAATGAATGATCCAGTGGAGGTCATACCAGAGAGTGAGGTGCAGCCTTTCCTTCTCTCGGAGAAGCTTGCGTCGACCAATGGAGTGAATGGGCACAATGGAACGAACGAACACAATGGTCATGCGATCAGTGCAAATGGCACCAACGGTCTCAACGGTCATTCATCAATTATAGTATCTCCTGGCTCAGAGCTTTTCAAGCTTTACGAACGCGCAGCGCTTTCTACGGTCGTTCGCATCCGTCGCGCATGCCCCCCGTTGTCTGTGCACGGTCCCAGCGAACCCCACACTGTCATCTTTGGGTTGGGTGATATCCCTTCTGTGGATATCGACGGAGTGTCGATTGTCTCACTCAGCTTGCTCACTCCACTCCCTTCCCGCATACTCGATGTCATTCCACCATCTGCATCACGTGTCATCATTCTCGAGCAGCTGCAACGCTGGAACACGAAATGGACACCTTTGTACCTTGAACTTGTCAATGTAATTCACCAGCGGGAAGTAGAGCAGCGACCCCACATTCAGAGCGTTTACTTCAATGACCCTGCTCAGATTCCCCTCGCAATCTTGAAACTTCTCCAAGCAGCTCCCTCTTCTGCTCCAATTCAACTTGGAAGCACCAGCACCTCCTCAAATTTTTCGCTAGAAGTGCCACACATACCCAAGCACGAGTCGTCTTATACGAAGATCTTGTCTCACATCTTTGGTGAACGTCTCGAAGTTTCCAATTCGCCTGACTTGGTGCTTAAACAAGGTGCTATTGCCACCAGTCCGGAGTTTGCATTGGGTCGCGTTCGA